TCCAAATGCGAATTCTGGCAAGACAGCGTAGCCTTTTTGGGCCACGTGATAACCAAGGAGGGGATCACGGTAGACCCCGCTAAGATTCACGCCGTTAGAGAATGGACCACGCCGAGCTCACTCTCGGAAGTCCGAAGCTTCTTGGGCCTGGCAGGTTATTACAGGAGGTTTGTACCCGACTTCACCAAAATAGCCCAACCCCTCATTAAGCTCATGAAAAAGGAAACCCCCTTCCGATGGGACAGCGACTGCACCTCAGCTTTCCAAGAATTAAAGGACAAGCTAACCACGGCACCCGTACTAGCCATCCCCTCCGGAACGGAGGGATTCGAGGTCTACAGTGACGCATCCAAGAAAGGGTTGGGATGCGTGCTGATGCAGAAAGGCAAGGTAATAGCGTACGCATCCAGGCAACTCAAAACCCACGAAGAGAATTACCCCACCCATGACCTCGAGCTAGCTGCTATCATATTCGCACTAAAAATCTGGAGGCACTACCTGTATGGGGTACAATGCAAAATCTACACCGACCATAAAAGCTTAAAGTACATCTTCACCCAAAAGGACCTAAACATGAGACAACGAAGGTGGCTAGAACTCATAAAAGACTACGACCTAGACATCCAATACCACGAGGGAAAAGCCAACGTCGTTGCGGACGCCCTAAGCCGAAAGACGAACCATTCCCTCAACACCACGTGGGTCCTACCGGACCAACTGTACAGGGACTTCCAAAAACTACACTTAGAAATAATAGAGCAAGGACAAACCCGCCCCAATGCCTATCTACTCAACACGCAAGCCATACCCGCCCTCTTCGAGGAAATCAAGGCAGGGCAACATCAGGACCCGGAACTAGATAAGATTCGCCACGACCTAACCCAAGGGAAGGAAGGCCCCTTCGAAGCACGCCTGGACGGCAGTCTCCGTTACAAAGGAAGGTGGTGTGTACCCTCAACGCACCCTCACTTGAAACAGCGGATCTTGGAGGAAGGGCACAACTCCCCGTACTCAGTTCACCCAGGAGGTGACAAGTTATACCAAGACGTAAGGAGGACGTTTTGGTGGCCAAACATGAAGAAGGAAATCGCAGACTTCGTGGCCAGATGCCTAAATTGCCAAAAAGTAAAAGCGGAACGATGCAAGCCCAAGGGGCTCGTACAACCCCTTGAAACACCACAAAGAAAATGGGATTCCATATCCATGGACTTCGTCGGAGGGTTACCCCCAACGAGAACCGGCAAGGACAAAATCTGGGTCATAGTGGATCGGCTGACCAAAACAGCACGATTCATTGCCATGAAGGAAACATGGACAATGACGCAACTAGCCCAAGCCTACATAAACCGGGCAGTGAAATACCACGGAGTCCCCTGAAACATTATGTCCGATAGAGATTCCAGGTTCCTCTCGCAATTCTGGAAATCACTACAATCGGCGTTGGGGACGCAACTAAAGCTAAGCACAGCCTTTCACCCCACCACAGACGGCCAAACCAAGAGAACCATCCAAACCCTCGAGGACATGCTAAGAGCCTGCACGCTAGACTTCCAAGGGACATGGGAAGAGCACCTAGACCTCATCGAGTTCTCATACAACAACAGCTACCACGCGAGCATTCGCATGGCACCCTACGAAGCACTATATGGTCAGAAATGTAGAACCCCCTTATGTTGGGAAGATATGGTCAACCCGGTAACACTGGGCCCCCAATACCTCCAAGACACCATAGCTAAAGTCAAACACATCCAGGAAAGGATGAAGGCCGCCCAAGACCGCCAGAAGTCTTACGCCGACCTAAAGCGGAAACAAGCCGAATTCAACCTCGGGGACAAGGTCTGGCTAAGGATCTCGTCCACACAAGGAGTAATGAGGTTTGGAAGAAAAGGAAAACTCAGCCCCCGATTCATCGGCCCTTACGAAGTCGTAGAGAAAATCGGGGATTTGGCCTACCGCCTCGCCTTACCCATCGAACTAGAACGGGTACACAACGTGTTCCACGTATCTCAGCTAAAGAAATACATACACGACCCAAGCCACGTACTCCAACCCGAGGTCGTAGACCTCGACGAGTCACTAGTATACGAAGAGAAACCCGTAAGAATCCTGGACACCAAGACAAGAAACACCCGGAACCGAGCCATAGAAATGGTGAAAGTCCTCTGGACCAACCACGGGACCGAGGAAGCAACATGGGAACTTAAGGACACAATGAAAGAGCGGTATCCCGAGCTTTTCACACCAGGTAACTAAAAGAAAACCTTTCACCAAGGGCCAAGCTTCGGGGACGAAGCTTCCTGTTAAGGGGGGGAGAGTGTAACACCCCGTGTTACGAGTCCTAAAACCAATTAGTTAATTAATCAATAGCCCAAGAGAAAGAATAAATTATAATGATTAATTAGGGAAAAAGGCCCACCATAGCCCGTGGGCCCTCACATATAAACCCAATTCTTAGTTCCAAAAGGAATAGAATTAGCAAGCCTATAATATTAGTTCCTAATTAGGACTCCTAAATATATAAATAGGGGACTTAAGAGGCACCTAGAGCCTCCCCACAAGATTAACGCCCCACCACCCCAAAAGAGCTCCAAGAATCCCCTTAGGAGAAATCAAGAAAGCAAGGAAGCTTAAAGAAAGATCCTTCATAGCCAAGGAATTAATTAAGGCTAAGAGGTAACCCATGTCTCAACAAAACCTATTTTCATAGCTATGATTCCCCCTTAGGGTTTCCCCCATACTATTGTGTATTGGCGAGATATGATGATTATTATTGATGTTTGATGTGATGATCCCATGAGGGATCTTGATATTGGGAGATTCTGGATGATTATGGAATCCTTGATGATTATATAGAGTTCTTGATGATTATGTGTTGTTCTTGATAATTGTGTGATGCTCTTGATGTTTATGTGTTATTCTTACCGAATCTTGCAATTAGAAGACGAACCGTATACTTGTTGATATAAAAGTGATTAGAACCCTAGGTTTTATCGTATGATCTTATTCTTGGATTATCGGGTGGGGAAATCGCATGTTTGGGTGTTGATTATATTAGAAAAGGATGATAGGTTATGTGCCGTTCGTTTCTCGTATTTGATCCGTTAATTGTCTACGTGTTAATTATTAGTTGCGTTGTAAAGTGTCTAAGCATGGTTTCGGGTTCCACAAAGGTTCCCGGGACGTAATTGTGTGAAAAGAGTCAGTGGGAGGTAGGTGGGGGGGTAGGGGACCCGCCACCTACCCACGGCCGAGAAACACCGCCCGACAGCGGGTAACCGGCGGGCGGGCAGCTGCCCGTCGGCGACCCGCTGCCTGGAACAGTAAAGTACGGCGGGCAGCCGGCGGGTGGCCCCCCACCCACCGGCTACCCGCTGGAAATTATCCCACCTTGGGATCCCGGCTTCCCCGTTTGATGTTCCCCCGTTCCCCGTGGTGTCTTAACGGACTCCGTTTATCGTGCCTATGTCTAGTTTGATATTTCGGGTATCGTTCGTAGGTTTATGAGTCTATTATATTGCATGCTAGTTGAATTGGTATCCCGTTGACCTAGGTGGAAGAAGTATGAACCCCTTAGGACTATTCTTAGTATGTGATGGATCACGCATAGGTTTTGTTATACGCTTTCTCCCCCTTCCCAATGTGTAATGTGGGTTGCATGTGCTTGCTATGTGTTATGTGTGTGTGCTACCCCAATTCGGTTGCGATCGGATTGGTTATCCTGAGCTGTGGTTCAGAAGCTGGCTGCGGTCAGATTGATACTCTTGGGCTGCGGTCCACCGTTTGGTTGCGATCAAACGTTTCTATACGAGCTGCGGTTCGTCCTTTTTCCTGGCTGTAGTCAGATGACATTCTCTTGGGCTGCGGTTCACTGTTTGGTTGCGATCAAACACTATGATGAGCTGCGGTTCATCGGTCGGTTGCGATCGACCCCTCCGTGTTGCGATACGGGGCAGGGTGCTGCGGGGCCGTGTCAGAGCTATATGCGCTGACCCTCATGTATGGGCATGCGATTGGTCCTGCGGCGCCAACAAAGTGTGTTATGTGTTGTGACATGGACGAGTTGTGATTACGAGTGTCTTGGGGGATGTGACTATGGGATTTATATTGGGGATTGTTCATGTTGGGTTATGATCATTGTTTATGCTTTGCCTTATCTGTCTTATCTATTGTGAACTGCATATGCTCGTTATAACTGTTGCTTGTGTCTAGCCTCATCTGTCGAGTCATTCCCAGTTTTAAAGCTAGAGTTCGTAGGATATATCTTCATGCTCAAAATGGTTTTCGTATATCTATATATATCCCTATATGTATTGTATTTCAACGCGTTGGAGTGGGTTACCAGCATCTCTCGCTGAACAGATATATTTGGCTTTCAGGCACTGAAGATTAAGTCACTGGAGTGCGCTAGAACTTAGAAGTAGATAGTTTCCCTTTTTGGCCTGCGTGCCACGTTTACGTATTTACGCTTTGAGGATATTAGTTAGTTAGCCTGTGCACTTGGGTTCTCTAGCCCAGGTGTGGCATAGCACCCCGAACACTTGTATTTATAGCTTGGGATTTAATAAGATTCTACCTTTGTTATAAGTTTTTAAATGTTTTAAAAATCTGGGGTGTTACAATGTTATTCATGGATGGCTCCTCCGGTTATAATCAAATCTGCATGGCGCTAGAAGATGAGGAGTTGACAGCATTTCGTACGCCAAAAGGCATCTATTGCTACAAAGTGATTCCCTTTGGTTTGAAAAATGCAGGTGTTACATACCAAAGGGCTATGCAGACTATATTTGATGATATGCTGCATAAAATGGTGGAATGCTATGTAGACGACCTAGTTGTGAAGTCAAAACTCTGCACAGATCACATGATGCATCTAAGGCAAGTCTTTGACAACTCAAAATGAACCCCCTGAAATGTGCTTTTGGGGTTGCCGCTGGAAAGTTCCTTGGGTTTACTGTTCGACACAGGGGCATTGAGATGAACAAGCTAAGATCGACGCTATAATGAAGATGCCTGAGCCAAGGAACATTCATGAGCTTAAAAGCTTTCATGGGAAGTTGGCTTATATCCAAAGTTTTATATCAAACCTGACAGGAAGATGTCAACCCTTTAACCGTTTAATGAAGAAGGGTGTCTCGTTTGTATGGGATGAGGCATGCAAGAATGCATTTCAAAGCATGAAGTCCTATCTAATGAAGCCTCTTGTACTAACTGCTCCAATTCCAGGACGCCCGTTGATTCTTTACATCTTGGCCTAAGAAAGCTCCATGGGTGCTTTATTTGCACAAGAAAATGATAAAGGGAAGGAAAATTCCCTTTATTATTTAAGTAGAATGATGACTTCAAATGAGCTCAAATATCTACCAATTGAGAAGTTTTGTTTGGCACTCGTATTCGCGATTAGGAAGCTCAAGCACTATTTTGAAGCGCATACAATTCAGCTAGTCTCCAGGGCAAACCCAGTGAAGTATGTCATGGCAAAGGTTGTTCTTTCCGATCTCCTTGCGAGGTGGTACTTATTATTTCAGTAGTATGTGATCATTTATGTACCACAGAAGTCCATTAAGGGGCAAGCTTTAGTAGATTTCCTAGCCGATCATCCAATTCCTGCCGAATGGGAACTGTCCGATAACTTACCTTATGAGGATGTGCTAGTGATCAAAGTTTTACCTCCATGGACGATGTACTTTGATAGAGATGCACACAAAGAGAGGGCAGGAGCTGGAGTTGTCTTTGTTATGCCAGAAGGGGAAGTGTTTCCTTATTCATTTACCTTGACGGAACGGTGCTCGAACAATGTTGCCGAGTATCAATCACTCATTTTGGGACTTGAAATTGCAACTGATATGAAGCAACTAAGGGATAACATATATGGGGACTCCAAACTGATTTTCAACCAAGTGTTTGGGGTTTATGAAGTAAAAAAGCCAGAGTTGATCCCATACAACAATTATGTAAGGATGCTCCTGCAGGGGCTAAGAGATGCTACGATTGAACACATCCCGAGGAAACAAAATAAGCAAGTTGATGGCTTAGCTTCTTTAGCTTCAACTGTATCCCATCCTGTAGATGAGGCTCGGTTGCGAGTATGCCAAAAATGGGTGATCTCTCCAATCTTCAAAGACGATGGCTCTCTTGACGAAACTGTTGAACTCCCGACTGCTTCTGTCTATGAGGTGCATAAGGAGGATTGGAGGAAATGATTGATCGACTACTTTGTTGATGGGAAGTTACCTCAAAGACCCTCGTAGGACGTCGAGCTCATCGCTTCATATATTTCAAGGGCACTCTATATCAGCGCTTGTTTGATGGTGTGTTCCTCCAGTGTTTAGGCGAAGAGGAAGCTTTACAGGCGATGGAGGAGGCTCACTCTGGAGTGTGCGATGCTCATCAATCTGGTCCTAAGTTACATTTTCACATCAAAAGGATGGGTTACTACTGGCCAACAATGGTAAAGGATTGCATAGACTATGCCCGTAGATGCCAAGCATGTCAATTCCATGCGAACATTATCCATCAACCTCCAGAACCACTACATCCGACGGTAGCATCATGCCCATTTGATGCATGGGAACTCGATGTGGTTGGCCCTATTACACCCAAATCATCAGCAAGGCATTCGTATATATTAGTAGCCACTGATTATTTCTCAAAGTGGGCTGAAGTAGTGGCTTTAAAGGAGCTGAAGAAAGAAAATGTTGCAGACTTTATCCGAGTTCACATTATCTATCGTTTCGGTATCCCTCCGTATATCCTAACCGACAATGGGAAACCATTCGATAATAAGTTGATGGATAAAAAATGTAAACTATTCCTCAGCTTATTATGCAGCTGCAAACGAACTTCTCGAGGCTTTTAACAAAACTCTATGCAACCTACTGAAAAAGGTGGTCTTGAAGTCAAACCGTGATTGGCACGAGAGATTAGAAGAAGCTCTGTGGGAATATAGAACAACTTACTGTACAGCAATGCAAAGCACTCCATACTCACCGGTATATGGGGTCGAAGCAGTTTTGCCTCTTGAATGCCAAATACCTTCACCAAGGTTAGCTATCCAAGAAGGCCATACAGAAGAGGACAATGTAAAGTTGCGCTTGGCAGAGTTAGAAGCTCTCGATGAGAAGAGGTTACAAGCTCAACTAAGTTTGGAATGTTATTAAGCTCGGATATCTAGAGTGTAACACCCCGTGTTACGGCCTCTAACCCAGACTAATTATTTAATTACTTACCATTAAAAGAGAATTGAATTCCCTTAATTAATTGAGAAGGGTCCACCATGGATCATGGACCCTTATCCCAAAACCAAACCCTTAGTCGTATAAGGAATAGGATAAGAAATCCTTACCATTCAGACCTTAGTTAGGACTCTTAAGTATATATAAGGACCTAGGAAGCACCTAGAAATCACACCACAATAGATTCCACCACACAAGAATTCCCAAGAATTCCCCTATCACCAAACGTAGGAGAAATCATGAAGAGGAGATCTTAGAGCAAGAACCTTAGTAGCCAAGGATTCTAATTAAGGCTAAGAGGTAACCCATGTCTCAACAAAATCTATTTTCCTTGCTATAATCTCCTTCTTTGGCTCCTTTGATATGTGATTCTGTGTTTGCGTCTTGATAAGGCTTTTCCTGAGATTGATATGATGATTATAAGATAATCTTGATGTTTATGAGATGATCTTGATGTTTATGTGTTGATCTTGATACGTATGTGATAATCTTGATATTCTTGATTCTAAGATAAATTATATAAATGATCTTATGTTTTAATTATGACTAGAGCGCTAGGGTTAAAACGTGGATTTTGTATTGTGGTATTCTTGGTATGTTTGGGTGGGATTTTGCATGATCGGGTATTGAGTCTTGGCATATTTAGGAGTCATGTTAGGATGTATTTAATGTGATTCTTGGTTTTAATCCATTACTTGATTACGTGGTGTCATTGTTGTGTTTAAATGTGTCTGGACATGGTTTCGGGTTCCACGAGGGATCCCGGGATTGAGTTATTACATAAGAGCCAGTGGGGGGTAGGTGGGAGCAGGGGTACCAGCCCACCTATCCGCTGCTCCATAAGACCGCCTGGCAGCGGGTGCCCGCCGGGCACCCGCTGGAATCCGAATGTGGATCATGGTGGTTTTCCCCGTGTACCGTGGTGTCCCATTGGACCATCGTTTGTCGTGCATGAGTCTAGTTTGATGTATCGGGTACCGTTCGTAGGATAAAAGAGTTTTGTGTATTGCATGCTAGTCGAATTGGTATCCCATTGGCCTAGGAGGAAGGTGCATGAGAACCCTTAGGCGTGTCTCGAGTAGTGTGGTTGACCACACATAAGTTATATATATGATTTCCCCCTCCTTATGTGTTAATGTGGGTTGCATGTGCTTGGCTATGTGTTAATTGTGCATGATACCCCAATTGGTTGCGATCAATTGGCTATACAGGCAGTTGGATGGGCTGAGAACCATCGGCTGTTAACCCGGCCGGTTGCGATCGGTCGGCTATACAGGCAGTTGGATGGGTTGAGAACCATCGGCTGTTATTTATATATATAGGGCTGCGGTCCATAATCTGGTTGCGATCAGATATACATATTATTCGGGTTGCAGTCCACCGTTTGGTTGCGATCAAACGTTATAAATGAACTGCGATTCATCGATTGGTTGCGATCAATCCCCTTATGCTGCGGTACAAGGCAGGGTGCTTCAGGGCCGTGTCAGAGCTATATGCGCTGACCCTCATGTATGGGCATGCGATTGGTCCTACAGCACCACCAAATGTGTTTACGTGTTGGAAATAGTGATTGAATACTAATATGATTGATATGAAATAGTCTTGTGACCTTAGGGCGCATGCTAGTATCTTTATTTGCGTGATTCATTCTGTTGAATGTGCCTACCCTTACTTGATTGAGTCTATTCTCAATTTTAAATTAGAGTTTCATAAGTATATATGTATTCCGGCTTCAAAATGATTTTTCTTATATATACCTACCTATATTGTATTTAACGCGTTGGAGTGGGTTACCAGCATTATTCGCTGAACAGATATATTTGGCTTTCAGGCACAGATGAGTAGCTCCGGAGCGCGCTAGTTGGACCCGTGGCTTAGCTAGTTTAGTTTTTTTATCGACCTGCGTGCCATGATGATGTACTTAACATTGATTTGAGGATTTCTACTGTTTAGATAGTTTAGCCTGTGCATCTGAGTTCTCCAGCTCAGATGTGGCATAGCACCCCAACAATTATGTTTAGTTATGCTCTATTTTGGGATTTAATGATAGTATTGCCTTTATTAAAAGTTTTAAAATTTAAGGGTGTTACATAGAGCTTTTAACAAAAGGGTGAGGGTTCACACATTTCAAATTGGTGACAAGGTATTGGCGGTTTGTAGACCTATCATCATTACCATGAAAACTGGGCATAAGTTCACCCCAATATGGGATGGACATTACATGGTACAAGTAGCATACTCAGGATGTGCTTACAAGTTAATTGATGAAAATGGTGTGCGAGTTGACCCTATTAACGGGAAATTTTTAAAAATCTATCATCCCTAAGCACACGGGACTACTTAATGAATGATATCCAACAAAAATGTTGCACGTGGTTAAACTGCTAAAACATCTTTCTTGTCTATGGGTGGGCCCAAGTCATAGACGCTCCTGACCCGCATGAGCTTAAACTGTGTATGGTAAACTCCTGGCCCGCATAATGGCCCTACCTATTCAAATGGTCCTTTGAACTACGTTTGACTATATCTCCTTCGCAGGAGTACGTAGGCAACTTAAAAGCACTTTCTTTTCTAAGTTCATTTACAATTAAAATAAACCCCTTTGTGTCACGTTTGTTCAAAACAGTGTAGATTAATTGAAGTTTAATCATCTCTGTTCATGTTATAATTAAGAGTAAATTCTTTTGTCAGATTTTTGTTGAAGTGATTCATTTGGGTTTAGACTTAGTTGCATTTGTTCATATTCAAGTTCAATTACTTTCTTTCAAGTTCACTTTTGCACTTGTAATCAAGAAAATTATATTGCTTGCAACTACTGTTGAGTAAAAAAATGGATTCAATTCGTGTCAAAGTCTCGTTTTCAAGATAGACTCATACTAACTAGCCGAAATTTTTTTTTTTAAAGTAAACAAATGAAAAACCGAAGGAATACAAGAGCTAAGAAAAAAAATCTAAAGTATTATAAAACCCATAAGGTCTTCCTTGTACGCTTCTAGCTCTCTTTTGACTGAAGCAAGTTTTTCTTCATCTTCGTCCGTCAACATGGGGCTGCCTCGAATACGTCTAACTTCCGTCTCAATAATGGTCACAGCTTCTTGCAATGCGTTATGTTGTTCTTGAGCCTTTGTCACAAGATCTTGGAGTTCCGATTTTTAGGCCCGAATCTTCGTCAACTCTTCCTGCGCATCATTTATCGTTTTCTCCAAGACGGTTTCTGGATCGATAGAGTCTTTGAGGGCTTTCTGTTGGTCAAGCAGCAGCGCTTAGGCTTGAGAGTGCTTTTGTTGAGATCTTAAAGGACACCTTGCGCAAGACATAGCTCCGCGACTTGGGATTCGGCGGGCATTGCATTTAAGAGCTGTGACCGCGTCTGATCATAAACTTTGGCCTTTTTAAAGAACTCGGCCACTCATTGCTCCAACGTCGACAGGTCCACTCTGTCTCGTTTCATACACTTGAGTTGTTTTTCAACGCTTTTATTGAAAGAAGAAATGCTTTTAGTCGGAGTCTCATTAAGCTTCCACGCTCCAAAGACTTGCGATAAAAGCCATGTATTTTTACATAAATGGTTCCTCGTTGGGAAGAATAGAGGCTTGGGACGGTTTCGGTTGTGCCTCTTGATGAGTTGCGTTGGAGGGCGGCGTTGATTGATGAGATGCTACCTCAAGGTCAAGGGGGTTAGAACGCCCACTACTTTGTCCTCCACCTATCGAAGAATGGTGATTTGATGATTGGGCGTCGTTACTAACAAGTGGCTCGACAGAATCCTGTAAGAAGTTCATGTATGTTAACAAATGCCAAAGTTCAACAATATATGGAAGGGAAAAGTTTGGGGAGGTTTCTTAACCTTGTTCAATGGTCTCTCCATTTAGGCCGTTTCCAACAGCGATCTTGATCGTCATCACATGTTCCTCTCTCCTCTTTTGAGTTGCATGTCCCCGGGCTTGATCTCGAGATGATGCGTCCTCTTGTGCTGGTGCTTTGCTTTTCCTCAAAGCAGTTAATGGTCTCTTTGCTCTTGAGTTCTTTCCTCGTCAATGGGTATGTTTGGGTTTCCATTTACGGCTATGTCTGTGATACGATTCTTAAGGAGGTTTGCACTCACATTGCTCAACCAAGCTTTGTACTCATCTGAAGCGTGCTTCTTTAGAGCAGTTGGGCTCATGGAAAATGTCGCATTGGATTGGGGGTTGATATTATCGTTTGGCGATAAATTCGGAATCCTTCGGTGAACGAAACATAGAGGACATCCTTCTCAAACAGGCCAGGGGCATATGCTTGATAAAATCCAAATTGACGGCTGAAGTGGTGAGGCATATAAGGCTCAGCTTTGCATTGAGATCCTTGGCGCAAAACGAGGAAGCTAGGGCGCAAACATATGAAGTACTCAAAGTCTTCCTCACTCCCTTTACGGTTGTCGCAAAAGATAAAATCTCTGTCATTCTTGCGGGAGGTGCAGAGCCAAGAAACACACTCCCCTTTGAATATCCTCTTACGGGCATCCATCTCATTGTAATGCTTTGCACCACCTTCTCCAGAAATGGTGACAATCTTTGGGTTGGATAACGTGAGGCCAGGGGTCTTAAAGTGGGTTTGGTAGTAAGCTGCTAACCAGCCGTACACATAATGGACTGGAAACTGGTTTTCTATTTGACCGGGAGAGTGGGAGCCGCAAAACATACCTTATTTCCTCTAGCCATCATGCAGGCTATCTTGAAAGTCTCGGGGCGAATGGTTCTCGGTGGTGTGCCTGGTAGGACGAACACGCAAAGCCAACAAGATAAGAACGCGGCTAAGTAGGTTTCCTTTTCGAGATGTCAGGAAATGCCTAGTTCAACAAAGGGCATTTCGCTCACATCTGACCATCTGGCGGAAGCGTCAAGTATTCCGCTTGGTGTAACACCCCAGATTTTCAAGACATTTAA